CCAAGAATTTTTATTATTTTTTATGCACATATAGCAATTGTAAGTAACTCATCGCTAGACGGAGTTCACGACAATTTTAAGCACTAGAAAATATAAGAAAATAAACGACCAACGTTGGCATTTGAAAGATCGAAATTTATGAATATTTTGATTATTATCTTCAATTATGGCTGAGATTTTTTTTTTTCCTTGTTTTACAGAAATTTCATAGAGATCTTCCTCCAACTCCGGTGTTTGCATTTGGTTTATCGAAGGATACTGCGACAATTCCTGGTCCTACAATTGAAGCTCTTCATGGAATTCAGACTTATATAACATGGAGAAATTATCTCCCCTCGAAGCACATATTGCCTTGGGACCCAACTATTCCAACTGCCATACCGTCCACGAAGAAGGGCATTCCTACAGTGGTGCACCTCCACGGAGGCATAGATGAACCTGAGAGTGATGGACTCTCGACCTCGTGGTTCACTGCCAAATTCAAAGAGCGGGGACCTACATGGTCAAAGAAAAAGTATCACTACCACAATTTTCAGCATCCAGGGACCCTATGGTACCATGATCATGCTATGGGCTTGACTAGAGTTAACATTTTGGCGGGCTTGTTAGGTGCCTACATCATTCGGGATCCCAAAGTGGAGGCACCACTTAGGTTGCCATACGATGAAGAAGTCGATCGTCCATTGGTCGTATTTGATAGGAGCTTTTGCGCTGATGGTTCAATATTCATGAATTCAACTGGAAATAATCCATCAATACATCCACAGTGGCAACCAGAGTATTTTGGTGATGCAATCATAGTCAATGGGAAGGCATGGCCCCACATGGTCGTGCGGCGACGAAAGTATAGGTTCAGAATTATTAATGCTAGCAATGCAAGGTTTTTCAAATTCTATTTTGCCAGTGGTTTAGGATTTATCCACCTGGCGTCCGACTCAGCATACAACGCAAGATCAGTAATGGTCAATGACATCCTTTTGGCCCCATCAGAAATTGCTGATGTGATCATTGACTTCTCGGAGTCAAATTCTGATTCAGATATTTTGGCTAATAATGCATCATATCCGTATCCTTCTGGAGATCCTGTGAATGAAGCCAATAGCAAAGTCATGAAATTTATCATAAAATCCCACCATGAGTTGGACACATCAAAAATACCAAAACAATTGATCCGTTATCCATCCCCAAATTTATCTAGCGTATCACTGACACGGTACATTGCCATGTATGAGTACACGAGCGAGATCGGTGAACCTATACATTTGTACATCAACGGAAAATCATATGAAGAACCAGTGACCGAGACACCAAAAGTGGGGGCAACAGAGATTTGGAATGTGATCAATCTAACGGAAGATAATCACCCATTGCATATTCATCTCGGACTTTTTGTGGCCCTGGATCAAACAGAATTGGTAAACGCTGATGAATTTAAAGAGTGTATGTTGAAGAACAACGATGCTATCAAGTGCCAAGTTGACAAGTATGCACGTGGAAAGAAGATAGATGTACCGGCCCATGAGAAGGGATGGAAAAATGTTTACAAGATGATGCCTGGATATGTTACAAGAATTATAGTCAGGTTTTCTTACATTCATTCGAATGAGTCATATCGGTTTGATGCAACTGCAGAACCTGGCTACGTCTATCACTGCCATGTGAGTAATTTTCCTGTCTTAACTTTGCATATTTACTAGGTCCAAAAACATACAAAGACTCATGGTGCCATGTTTTTCACTGCATCATTAGTTTTTTAACATTATTTCAGTCACCAAAATTATCTGCTGTTAATGTACTACATAAATTTCGACATCTTATGAAAATCGAAACTTCGACCCAATTCAGAGGTTATTCTTTCCAACACAAAGAATGTAATCTATGTATTTATTACATCCTTACCACCGTTGGATTAGGTAAGAATTCCTCATGCTATCTGTCCAAGCGTATATTATGCGTTCAATTCATATCAAGTGCGTGTAATCCTTTCCAAATAGCCTTGAAACTTGAAATTTGCCTAATTCCCTTTTACTTTCTTTTCACTCTATAACGGAATCTTCTTGATTATTTCATTATTAAAGACCATGTTTTGATTATTTTCTTGATAATTTATTTGGCCATATGCAGATCTTAGATCATGAGGACAATGTGATGATGAGGCCATTGAAATTCATCAAATAGAGGTATTAAGCAAGCCTTTCCCTAATTAGCCTCTCAAATGTGTGGGAAGATAGGAGGAAGTACCTTCGATGAATTTATATTGTTTGGTTCTTGTTAACTCCAATGTTTTAACTGTACATTTCTGCAGGTTTGAACTATGCGATTGAAGAGCAAAAGGAAGGAACCTTTAAATGGATGATACCTTAAAAACAAGAGGAAGCAAGTATATGACAAAATTCTACTAGACTTATAAAGCATTTGTAATCAATATGACATGTGTGGGGAGAGTCAAATGTAAAGTCGGAGAAATGAAAAGTAAATATCTGTTTTTGAAGTAACAGAGTATGTTACCCGCATATGTGCTGTTTATTTTTATTTTCCAACTACGTAAATGCAACATTGAGTAGTAGTAGTAGTTGTTGTTATTGTTGTTGTTTTTGTTATTATTATTATTATTATTATTATTATTATTATTATTATTATTATTCTTCTTCTTCTTCTTCTTCTTCTTCTTCTTCTTTTTATTATTATTATTATTACTACGTACACGTGGGGAAGAAGATGAAGTTTTTCGGTGTGAGGTTTGGTGCAAATGTTCTCTTTTATTTATTTTTTTCATTTAATTATTTTAATTATGTTATTTGGAAAAAATATAAATTTATCATTTTAATTTTTACCCTTTAATAATTGGTCAAAGTCAATATTTTTTAATCAATTTATGGTCAAATGGATTAAACTATCAATTTGTCCTTCAACTACAATCAATTAAAACGTTTCAGAGAATGAGAATCACAAATAAAATATTTGGGTAAAAGTTGAAATATAGTGAAAGATTTAAGACCACAACTAAAATTTTCCCTAACTTTTACTCCAAAATATATAGGGGTTGTTTGAGCTCCATTCTTTTCAAAAAAGGCTTTTGAAATAGTGTTACGATAAAAAATGTGTGGTTAAAAAAAAAATTGAATTTACGTATAATACTATTTTATTGAAAATGTGTGGTTGAAATTGAATCAAGTTAGGAGCGGAGCCCAATTACGTCCAGTGCGGGCATCTCGCACTAGACTTTGGGCCCAACTCGACAGGCCCAAGCAATAATAATAATTATTATTATTATTATTATTATTATTATTATTATTATTATTATTATTATTTATTTAACTCACTTTGTTGTCCAACCCAGAGAGATAAGTCCAATGCCCACGACCCATTTATTGACGCATTCCCCTCAAAATTCAATCGAATCAATTGACAATTTTTATTGCTTTTGGATTCATTCATTTCAGCCCTTCATCCCTTCGCATTTCGCCGCTTTCCTGTCCGTTGGTCACTGCCCACATCTCTGACAGTCCGACTCTACATCTTCCTCCGACTGTCCGACCTCTGTTGCAGACTAGCAAGCATCTCCGAGACTCCAACTCTAGGCTCTCATCTCCGACTCTACATCCTTAGCTCCGTCGGTTGCTCCTTAACCGGCATTTCTTCCGACAATTGACGGCAGCCAGCAAAGGAATAAACCAGAAGGTGAAACACCAATTTGACAATTTCCACCAGTGAATTAGTGATTTTAAATTTTTTCCCTTATTTTTTGTTATTTCGATCTGTGTAAATTGTAATATATATATATGTGTGTGTGTGTGTGTGTGCGCGCGCGCGCGCGCGCATGCATGTTAACATATGAAATTAGCACTTTGTTCTTCAATTGCTCGAAGCAGCACAAACTTCCAATTGACCAGTTCACTGTTGCCTCTGGCTTTCTGTGAACATTCGAGATCAAGTTCGAAGGGCATATATGTTAAAGGATCCTTGTCAGCCCCAAGAAGATGACATTCCAAAAGGACAATTTGGAGTAACAACTAAACAATTCAATCTTTCTTGGTTTAAAGAGTTCGGTACTTGGTTGGAGTACAGTGTGGAAAAGGATGCTGCTTATTATTTGTATTGTTATCTTTTCAGAACAAGTTCTGGAAAGCAAGGTAGAGGTGAGTCTTTTGTTGGTGAAGGTTTTACATATTGAAAGGATAAAAAAAAAAAAAAAAAGGCTTCATACTAATGTTGGATTCATGATAGTTCACATAATCAAGCTCGTTTTAAGTATGAAGGTTGATGAATTAAGAGCAACATATTCGATCAGCTTTCTACAAATAGTTAGAACAAGTAAGAAGTGTATATGTTACCCGTCTTAATGCATCCATTGATGGTGTTTGAATTCTATTGTGACAAGGGCACTCATTTCAGGTCATGATGAATCTAAAAATTCTCTCAATCCAATTGCAATTTTGGTTGCTCATAATGAAGATATTAATGCTATCACATTGGAAAATGCTCTTTAAAATTGTGAATTGACAGTACTTAATGTTCAAAAGGATATAGTAAGTGCTTGTACTATAGAAACAATCAATGTTATTATCAAAGATATTGGCGATTCACTATTTTCTATTCTAGTTGATGAATCTCGTGAAGTGTCAATGAAGGAGCAAATGTCAATTGTAACACGTTATTTAGACATTAGTGGACATGTGAATGAATGCTTCATAGGGATTCAACATGCTACAAGCACTGCTGTTTTATCACTTAAGGCTACAATTGATAAGGTCTTTTCTAGATATAACTTGAACATGTCTAAATTGAAAGGATAAGGTTATGATGGGTAAAAAAATATGCAAGATAAGTTTAATGGATTGAAAGCACTAATATTGAAGGAGAATCCATGTGATTTTTATATTCATTGTTTTGCTCATCAAATCCAACTAACGCTTGTAGTTGTGACAAAGAAGAACATTCCTATTACGAACTTCTTTCGTGTGGTTGGTGATGTGGTAAATACTGTTGGAGCATCTTCTAAGCGTTATGATTTTCTACAAGAAAAACAATTAGACTTTATTGTTGAGGCATTAAAAAAAATGTAAGATTTTAAATGGAAGTGGACTTAATCAAGAAATCCTTCAACATTCTGGTGACACACGACGTTGTTCACATTATAATTATTCGGTCAGCTTACTTACCATGTTCTCTTCCATTAGTGATGTACTTGAAATGGTTGTTGAAGATGAATCTTGTTCTTGTGATCAAAGATCTGATGAACAAATTTATTGGAGTTGATACAGACATTTGATTTTGCATTTAATCTACAATTGATGAGAAGTGTCTTGGGGATGTCAAATGAACTGTCAAAGGCATTGTGAAGGAAAAATCAAGATATTGTGAATGCAATGTAATTGGTGAAATTGTGCAAATGACAACTCCAAATAATGAGAGATGAAGGGTGGGACTCCTTTTCGGAAGAAGTGTGTTCTTTTTGTCAACAATATTATATTGATGTACCCGACATGGATGATATGTTTGTACGATATGCACTTCGTGGTCGCCCTCAGCATAATCTTTCAGAAATTACAAATTTACATCATTATCAGGTAGATTTGTTCTACTCTGTCCTCGATTTACAATTTCAAGAATTGAATGATCGTTTCTCGAAGGTAAATACAGAGTTACTCCTTGTGTAGCTTGTTTATGTCGACAAGATTCATTTTCTTCTTTTGACAAGAAAAGCTTGATTCGACTTGCTGAGTTTTATCCTTTAAATTTTCTGTAGTAGTGTCATTGTACTTAATGATCAACTTGAGACTTATATTTTTGATATGCGCTCTAACAAAGAGTTTGAAAGGTTGAATGACATTGGTGATCTTGCGGAGAGATTAGTTCTGACAAAGAAAAATAAGGTATATCCATTGGTTTACAAACTTTTGACTTTAGCATTGATTCTACCGGTTACTACCGCTACTGTGGAGAGAGTTTTTTCTACAATGAGCATCGTAAATGATAGTGATCAGTGGATGAATAACAGCATAATTGTTTAAAAAAAGATATATTTTTGAAGCTCGATAATGAAGTTATTGTACAACGATATCAAAGTATGAAAACTCATAAGGAACAAGTGTAATATATAAATTATATAGTTTTTAGTATTGTTGTAATATTATTTTATTTCTTTATCATCATTAAATCCATGACCAAAACCTCAACGTCCAGTATTGAAATTTTTTTTGCTCGCACTGAACTAAAATCCTGGCTCCACCCCTAAGTCAAATCACTGTTGAATAATGTATTTCGATGGGAAAAAATGTGGTATAAACAAGGGCATAATTAGAATCATATCATCCAGTATGAATAGTACCAGAACACCAATCTATATCATTACACTTTATAAGTTCAATTAAATAAATCATGTGGCATTGTATATAAATGAATCTATCATTTACTCTCTTGCAATATTCAAGGTGCTTGACACCAATGGTACTAAGTAGTCTTACTCATATAATTATTCGACCAATTCACATTGCGTCCATACATTTGGTTCCTAAATTACTCAAGATCTTTTTAGCAATAGGGAGACTAATAATCACCATAATCATTTCAGTTACTAAAATTAAAATGAAAGGAAGACTCTTCTATTTTCTTGTTTTGTTTCTGCATATAGTTTGGTTTGTTATCAAGCAAACTTTTTTTTTTTTTTTTTAAACTTCAAATGATGACCATGCTCTCGTTAACCAAGGTGCTGGTGCTTTATTTTATCATTTGCTTTATTATCATTTTTCTTCTAATATTCTCTTTTCAAGTATCATCTCTAAATTGCTTGCTTGTCTTGAAGTTATATTAACATTTTATAATTTATATCCTCACAGCAGACACAGATAAAAGTACCCACTCATTTCAAATAACTTTCAGCTCAAATGAGGTTTCATTACTCTCTTTGGAAAACTATGTAAAGGGCAACTACAAAAAAATATAAATAGAAAGAAGAAGAAGAAATTAAAAAAAAAAAAAAAATTGTGGCATAACTTGACCCCAAATGACCCATGTGGGTCCACCAGAGTAGCTGGTCTTCAAAATCTTGAATTGTGTGATTCGTGACTTGTTATATGACTATGACTAATAAATTGTTTGATATGTGACAATGACCTATTTACTTTCAATTATATGTCACAATATTTATAGGAGATCACAAGTGTGACCACCTGATTTTTTAATGTTATTTTACAAGTTTGTTAATTTTGAAAGTGAATTCTTAAACATTTGTGATTATGAAATTTTCCCATATTATCTTATCATCTTGATCGGTTTTTTCTCGACTTATCAACAGATTTGATGGAGAAATCAACACTTTCAAAACAAACCCAACATCAAGAAAGTTTGGACATTCCTCTACTTGTACCTCTAACTAGTGAATTTTTTTTATCACTTCTCTAAATTAGCTACATCAACTATTGATACATTCTTGCAGTTTAAAACTATATACATCCAATGATCTCCCCACCAACTATCAGGAAAATTGTGAACAGCAAATCAATTTCTTGAAAATTCATAAGCTGAATAACAAAAGAACTTGGCTAAAGATTTAAAAATTGAAAGTCGATTTTTAATCCAATTTTCCCTTTCCTATCATTCCTTACAAAAGAATTGATATAGTCGTACATTATGCATTGTTCTTTGATACGAATAGAATTCATCGTCATTGATTCTCAACAGATGAAGTTTTCTACCTACATCACAAGGACATTATGCTAAAGTGAATGATAACATAAACTCCCTCCATCCCATTTATATAGGTTTGTTTCATTTTTCATACGAATTAAAAAATCTTATTTAATGTTTTTGAAAAAGCACTTTTTGCCAATAACTTTCCTAGTATACCATTATTTATATTTGTACAATTTCAAGATTAAGTGGAAAAATTGATTATAATTAGAAAAATTAAATAAGAGTATATTAGTAAACAAACAAAACAAGCTCAATAAAGAAATATGGCTATATAATTGGAACAAGAAAATAAGGAAATTAAGCTTATATAAATAGGACGAGTGAAGTATTTCAAGCTATTTCTTTTGAATTAAGGATTTCACTAAATATCATATAAAATCTCAAATAGCTATTGTCTCAATAGAATATCGGTGTTACCTCAATAATGAAGAGAAAAACACTAAAATTCAAACTCAAACTAAATAGAGTTTGCTCAAACTCGTACTAGTGCACGTATAAAATTTATACATCTATTTAGTTATTTTAATGCACTTTTTTGAAGAGCGTAAGAAGACGTGGAAAGTGACTCGAAGTAAGGGTGAAGAATAGAGGCCAAAAGGTCTGATCAGTGGGCCATGATATTGAATTGATCCAATCAACTTGCTCTCTGTGTTAATAGAGAAAGATGGTTACACTGTCGGATTCTGACCAATGAATAATACCGTTAAGCACAGTCGGATCACCAAATGACGTCCCTAAACGAAAATCATTTGCGATGAAAGGTTTTGATTGTATCCACTTCCCCGTCTTCGAGGATTAAGTTTCAATCATAAATTCTTTGTCCATTAAATTTGGTTTGTAAATCTGCACGACTTTATAATTTGCCACCAACTGGGTTGTATTTTCTTCACCCCCAGTGCTACCGCTATGCAATGATTTCCATGTTAAAAAATAAAATTTCGCATCAAATAAAAATGAAAATATAGACTAACTTATAATGAATTGGGCTACTCCTATTAACAAGATTAACATTTTAAGATGGAATCTCATGCCTTAACATAGTATTAGAGTCCTGTAGACATAAAAAAATAAAATAAAAGAAGATGGATTTGGTCGATTTAAATCATTAGCCCAATTAAATTTAAGTCTACTAAAGTCCATAAAATCCAAGGGCCCATGCCAAATTTTAAATAAATAAACAAACAAATAAATAAAACAATAATTACTCAATTATCTCTTTAAATTAAATATAATTGAGTAATTACCAAAATTAGCAAAAATTCTCCCCTATAAATAAGATCAAGGTCCATAAGACAGGGACACGGGAGAAGAAGCGAAAGGATAGAAGGAAACCATGAAGTGCTGAAGAAATTCCAAGGCCGAAGGAATTGAAGAAATTCTCTTAAATTTAAACTCAGTGAACCCCAAGAAGATCAAAATCTTCTTCGAATCAAACAGGTTCACATCAAGTCCAAGAAGATCAAAATCTTTTTCAAATCAAATCAAATACAAATCCAACTCCAAGCCTCAAAATTTAAGTTCCAAACAAGTCAAGTTTCGACAAATCAAATTTTCAACAAATTCTCGAAGATCAGGATTCAAGCTAAGTAGCCCCTCGTCTTCAAATATTCATATCATTAATTAGAGAATTTTTACAATCTTGCAATTACAAGAAGGTCAACATCACTTGTATTTATCAATATACAATTTGTAACGATTTTTGTATTTTAATACACGAAATTTCGTCGTACAAATTTCTTGGCACGCCCTGTGAGACCTTCTTGTCCTTTCATCTTTTGATCTCAAAATTTTCAAATTTCAACTACTACATCATAATGGCAGGGGAAAAGGCGAAACAAACTATGACTCATCTTGAAGAGACACTTACTGAACTCTTCCATGCGACCAGAGTCCAAACAAAAACTGGGAAAACTCAATTGGTCACATCACTGAAGAAGTTCTCCAACAAAGGCAAAATGAAAATTGCATTCAAAAAATCAAACTCTCATTCGACAGAAAAGACCATGAGTTCAGCGAAAAGTTCTCGTTCGGACTCCATCTCCAGTGGTAGATCCTTGTCTGGATTCACTCATGCCACTTCTCAACAAAAGTGGGAAGATGATGCCTCATCTAAAGAATCATTTGAGCCAGTGATGGTCACAAAAGCGGCATCGGGCTCAGATGTCTGAATTCAACAAATGGCCTTAGCCATTGAAAAACTAACAAAGTCGTTGGAAGACAAAGATGCACAGATTGCTATACTCATACATAGGCTAGAGTCGCAAAATCCACCTACTAAAGAAGATCAGGAAAATTCAGGATCTTCCAAGGCCAAAGAGTTAAATGTCCAAGTGCACCAACAAAAGCAAGTTATGCATGATCGGACACTTGTTCAAAACGTGTTGCATGACACCACTCAACTCTTCGTTGGCTCTCTGTCCGTCTAACAACTTCAACATATGATTGCAAACACCTTTGTGCCCAATATGGTGGTTCACTGCAATCTTCTTTGGTGTATGCCAAGCCCTATAGTCGTCGAACCGACGAAACAAAGATGCCACTCGGTTATCAACCTCCGAAATTTCAGTGTTTTGATGG